TTATTGATGATGGATATAGATTTATAATATGTGTTATGATTGCTTATTATACATGGAATCATGATATGTATAATATTATTGTCTGTATAGATTATTTTTATGAATTCCACTACGGTAAGTAAACAGTAAATGATTTTTATGTGAATTTGCTAAATTTAGTATTTTTTTAGTAATTATTAATTTTATATCAATCTTTACTTCTGTGTCGATGATATAGTGTGATATCCTTACTGAGGTAGTGTAGCTCATTACTTATTTAATCATTTCGCATCAGAAGAACTAGGTTCCAGAGTTCGATCCGCAAGAAGATTGCGAGTATATATTAGATTTTTTTTTTATTTTTCGTTCATTTCCTTATTTCTTGTATTTTTTTGAAAATGGTGAATTTCGTAACAATATTTAGTATTTTAAAGTTATTTGTGTAAATAATGTAAATTCTGAACTTTTATTACGCTTTCCCACTTTTAATTATCTTTATTTCATTTTAAATATTTCTAGGATCGTTATAAATATAACGTCATGTAACAAAATAAGGCTTCGTCTTTTGCTTCAATTTGTTTTTGTTTTTTTTTTAAAAAAATTTTAAAGAAAAGGGAAGGTAGACTTAACAATGGGATTCGAAATCCATCCTTTATTTATAAATAACAGTAAAACAGAACACTATATTAAAGTATATCTATTATATATATATATATATATATGTAATAAATATATATGATGGGAATATTTTTTTAATTATTTTATTGTTAATTAGCAATTTTAGGTCCTTGTCATTTTCAACGTCCCATTTGCATATCAGCTTCAACCAGGTTGCTTCTTTTACTTTCCAATTTCAGCGCTTAGTGGAAAAAGTTATGATTGAAAGACCTAATTAAACATGTACAGCATTTCGTATCAAAGTTTCCTGATGAATATTATATATATATATATATATATATATATATATAGTTTACAGGTTCTAGAGAGTATTTCGAAAATTATATTAATATATATATTCAAAATTTCTACGGGTTGACAATTTAACAATCATTTTTACTCAAAATATTGTAATTAATTATTTTTTTATTAGCGATCCCTAATGACTATTATTTTTTTAACACAAACATCTCATAATTTTTTGGTTCCTCTGTATCAGTAAGAGATGCATCTCCCTG